AGCTTCAGTGTAAATATTGCGTCAAAATCAAATAAATTTGAGCGTGATTTAAACCCGGATGATTGTAACCACTCTAAGTTTGTCTGCCTTGGGAAAGCTAGCGTGTCTGCGACATAGTGTTAACACTCGTTGCCTTCTCTAGTGCAGCTCAGCCAGGTCTCATCCCATTCGTCAATCTTTGTGATATCACAAATCCCGGAAAATATGCATTGTAGTCCAAACGAGTTGTTCGTTGTAGTTTTTGAAAAGTGATTTCTGTTAAATAAAATAAATCCTTTTGAAGTGGACTTTGAGCTTTGTAACTTTGCAGATCTTTTTTATGCTCAAACAGCAACATTACAGACTAACTAAAGTTGAAAAAGTGAAAAAGCATAATAGGACCCCTTTAAAATGCTACAAGTGAATTTAGGATCACTGCAGAGGATCCAGTGATGAGCAAGTGATGTAATGCTAAATTTCACCAAATCTGTTCTGATGAAGAAACAAACTCATCTACACCTTGGATGGCCTGAGTGTGAGTAGCAGAGTTAAATATCAAATATAGACTGACATCAACCCATACCTCGAGTCGATATCTCTAGCATCAGCTAAAAAACGTAAAAGTTTTAAGCAGAAATGAAAAAAAGAATTGTGTCAAATTAAACTAAAAATCATGTTATATCATAATTCTGAAAAAATTTGACATTAAGCCCCAGTTACCTGTGTGCAAGGGTCGGCGTGGTCGGGGAAAGGTCTGATTGGAGCATAGAATTCGGTGACACGTCAGACAGAGTGACGTCATCACCAGTGCCGTTGATTCGGCAGAAGTCCGCAGTCACGGGTGGAGTAAGAGGGGAATGAATGTCGGCAGGCGATTCCTGTGAAACACAATAAATCGGTGGGTTATTTGTTACACTCTTACATATTCAATACATAATCTTCTTTTACACATATAACCGTTAAGCTGCTAATTACAATGGTGGGATTTAGGAAAACTACATTTTTCGCAGAGACAAGGGATATCCCTTGGAGACTGAAATGTTGTGAACAGTCTTTACGGACGTCATTGTCATAGGCGGAGCGTGTGTAAGGCTGGGGAAGGCTTAGAGTTGGGGCAAAAATGCCACTAAATTGGACAAAAATGCCCCTGCACAAACAAATTAAATCTATTACGTCTGTTGCTAACAAAGTGAATATGAATAGACAGTGTCGATTGCGGCATTAAATTAAGATCTGCTCATGTTGCACCGTATTTCATTTTAGGCGTTTTTACAGTGTTGCGCATTTTAACCAATCACACACAATTCTGTTGAGCTTAGGAATGCAATGGCCAATCAGAAGCGTTCAGATGAGTCATCGTTCAAACTCATCAGTTATGTTGAGTGCGCGGGCGTTCGCTACCTGAATTCCGGACTCTTGCGAATTCTCTCATCATAAACAACAAAGCGCAGATGTACGTACAATGTAAGTA